GCTTCTCCGATTTTCTGGACGAAATTACCCGCCGCGTCATAAGCCCCGCCCACCTGACACTCCTCGGCAGGGAGGCCTCCCGCCGAAGCCCCGCCCCTCGCCATCCCAGGAAGCGGACGCCGGACGGCGAGTGCGCCGAGCGCGGGCGCCGTTGGGACGCGTGGGTGGCGGCGCTGCGGCGCTCCGAGATGACCGGGGGGGCCGGTCTTGTCGAGGAAGCGTTGAGGGTAAACGGAGGAAGCGAACCAGACGAACGGCGTCTGACTAAACGGGACGTTGCGTCACGCGTCAAGGTAGGTTTGGCGTCCGCTTGTCCGTACGACGCAAACGCGTTTGCGCTTTGGGTCCGTCCAAGTCGACCTGACGCGTGCGGCGCGCCTTTGTCGTCGCCGCCGTTTCGGGCGGTTGCCGCACGTCCCCACGTGTCCGAGAGGCGCGTCCGCCAAAAGGGCCCAAGGGTGGACGTTTTTGAGAAGAGAGCCGTGCGCTGCGCAGGCCGCTCACGTCGCCCTGGGGGCCAACTTGGACCCGCCGCCACCTTTTTTCTCTCCGAGGACAATGCATGTTGAAAGAGCAACAACAAAAAAAAAGCATCCGGGTTGTTCCTCGTCCCCCGTGCGGACTGCCCCCCCCCCCCCCATCACACGTCATGAAGGGGGGGAAAAAAAGTGAATTGGAGCAGTCGAACTTCAAAGGGGGGGCTCCTTTCCTCAACTGTGCAAGCTTGTGCCGCGCTTATGAGTCCTGTCCAAAAAGAAAAGAAGAGAAGAGAAGAATCATCTTTATCGGCCAAGTATGTCGAGCACACGAGGAATTTGTCTCCGGTAGAACACGCTGCCTTAGTCGAGCTCATCCGGAGTGAGCGCCGCCGTTCTTAAAGTGAAACTTTGGACTTTTCAAAGCCACGGCTCCAACTGCTCACTGGCCCGTGCCGAGTTGATACTCAATTCAGCCACGAGCCATCCGATTTGGGATTTGTGTTGGGGGGTTCTGGTTGTGGGGGGGGCGGCTCCTTTTCAGCAACGATTCATTGACTCGTGACTCGTGTTCGGTTCAACAACTGGCGGCCGGGCGGACGCTCGCTCCTGAAAGACTTTGTATCGGCCGCTCGAGAGTCGATTTGCCCGAACGTGTCGACGAAGGGCGCGCATGACGCGTTTTGCCCGGAAGAAGATTTGCTTGTTTGTTCGCATGTTGCCGAGGCGATTGTGTCTGAATTCTCTTTTGTCTTTGTCGTCTTCCAGGAGGTTTTGTCTGACTCGGACCGGATCAGGTAAGACGACCCCCCCGCCTCCGCTGCTCATTTCAGTCGCGTCGCGTTCGTGATTCATCGTGTCAATGAGATTCGTCTGGTGACTGGAACCTTTCGGAGGAAAGAAAGTGCCCTCCCCGAGATGGTCGCGAGTAACGCCGACTATTCGATGTTTGACTGACGTTCCGAAAACAAGAATGCGGTGGATGAGGTCCCGAGGCTGGACGTTTGCTCATTCGAAATGAGCGCGTTTCGGAAACACTTTGGAGTGCCAAGCGGACTGCCAGGCAGTTTCACGGAGCGGAAGATGCGATGACGAGCGCTCGCTCGGTACCGATGCGCTTCCAAAGATGGCACGTAGCGCTCGTGTAGCTTCGTATGACAAGAGCAGACGTGTCTGTCCTCCCATTGGGCTCAAGTCCAATTGCGGGCCACCGAAGGAGCTCGCGACATTGCCCGCCATGCAAGTCCGCTTCACGCCACCCGGCCGCGTAGCGCGCATCGTAGCCGTGCTCGTGGCTTGCGCTCGTCCGTTCGATATTCAATATCGCAATACGCTCAACTCGTACCATTTGTCTGACGTCGAGCCAAGCAAGGCTCCCGTGCCGGGCGCCCCTCCGTGATAAAACGTTCAGGTTGCCCCGGTCTGCTTTTTCCAGTTTCCGTTTTTTTCGAAATCCGACTCGGGTTCAGCTGGCAAAGTTTGCAGCGGCGCATTCCGAATGACCGACGGCAGAAAAACTCCTGGGGCAAGAGACGCGCGCCCGCCGGCCGGCTTTTCTGGCTACGATCCCCCTCGTTGCCGCCCCTCGACTCGGCGGGGGCGCGGACGGTCGGGCGCGTTGGCGGCAAAGCCGTGCGCTCCGTCCGCACCGGATTGCGCCCGGCCGGTCGCCGTTGCCGGATTGATCGACTGGCGTCACGTGCGGCTGCGGCGGACGACGTGCGTGTCGGAATGTTCCACGTTGATCCGTCTCATCCGAGCGCAATTACGATCGCTCGATCGGAGCGTGATTTCGCCGGATTGGTGGTTTGAACGATGACAAAGTGCAAATGAACGCGATCCAAAATGAAATGCTCACCAGGCCGTGCGTGCGCAAGGAGTGGCCAGGATAGATATTTGCCTCAAAGTGCAAAGAATCCGAGAATCCGAATCATCTCTATTGGCCAAGTAGGTCGAACGCACGAGGAATTTGTCTCCGGTCGTACAGGCTCCACTCGTTTGATCAATAACCAGCAACTACGAGAAACAAGGACATGACGCGTGAGTATGGAAAGACTCCCGGTCGTGCAGTAGTGGAGCGTGACAAAGTAGGCTGAAAAAGAACAACAAACTCCAGTCGTGTTTGGATCCAGATTTCGAGTTGGGCTGAGCGAAGGAAGCGGTTGGACTTGGATACTCGCCAGCTGGGACAAACTGAGCGTTTGTCCTTCCCCAGAATCCTTCAGCAGCAGAATGAGGATCTGCGCGGACGCCTGACTTTCTCCACCCGCAAGATGGAGGCCATGGAGGCGGAGTTTGACGGGAGCCGCCATTACATGGAGGCGGAGCTGAGTCGCACAAGAGATGACCTTGAGAAGATGAGGGACAAGTTTCGCCGGTGAGCCCTTTGTGCGTTCTTTCCGTCATGGCGAAAGGCAAGTGGGGGGAGCGAAGCCTTTCGCGGCTCGCCATTGCGCAACCCCCCCCCCCACACACACACACACACACCAAGGGTGTTTTCACTCTGCTCGTCTCGCCCTCCCGCAGCACCAAATGGAATTGACCTGATTGAAAGCACAGCAAATTGCAAGCGTGACACTGCGTGCGCGCTTGCTGCCTCGGTCTTCTCAACACGGGCGTGCGCCTCTCCGATAAAAGACCGTCGCGTACGCATCTCGACACCAGACGATTCGTGGAACGATTCGGTTCGATGGCGAGTCCGTTGGATCCGGCGCGGCCGCGGCTCTGGTCGTGACGATGAATATGTCAGAGGAAGCTCTCGTGCGGCCACCCCCGTCCAAGTGAATTCAACTCGGAGAAACGATCAACGGAAGCCATGTCTTTGCTGGTCCGCATCTCTCGTGAAAGCCGATTGGAGATGCGTCTCCGCGCGTGCGCCGCCATGTGATTCGAGGATACGGCGCATTTCAAAATGTCTCGATCGGGTTCGCCGCGCTTACGAGAATCAATGCCCATTTTCCAATTCACATGAGTTGACTTAACGATAGCGTGGCCTTTCCCTCCGCAGACTCCAGAACAGCTACACGGCGTCTCAGAGGGCCAATCAGGACTTGGAAGAGAAGCTCCATGCTCTGGTAACCATCTTTGAACGTTTCGGGATGGAGCGGTTCAAAAAATGGAGGGAGGGCGGGGGCCTTCTTCCACGCCGGCCAATCCGTTTGTCTCCTAACACGGCCCTCAATCGGTCGGCATTATTTGCAAACGTCCCTCCCGTTTGGAAATGCCTCGTCCTCCTTCGGACGGCGTCGCTTGACTTTTTCTCTCATTTGGACGAAAGCGGTGAGCGTTGCGATCTCAGGCTGTCTCCATAGCAACGACAGCTGCCATCGCGCTACGTGTAGCCGTCGGCGGAGAAACGCCGCGTGATGACCGAACGCAACCGCGCGGGGTTGGGAAAGCAGCGGACTGTTGCTGGGGCGACGGGACGCAGACTTAAAATACGCCGAGCGGCCGCCCTCCTTCCCGAAACCTTGACTGCCGATTCAAGAGCCTCAAATGAAACGCCGTTCGGCACAATCCGTTTGATTGGATTTGATACGACGAAGAAACGCATCAATTGATCTCGTTGGAATTGCAAGGAAAGAAAAATGTAATCACGTGTTTCCTGCCGGTACCCCCCCCCGCCCCTTCCGTCTTCTTTCCTGCTGCTCTGTTGTGGAATCTGCATCTTCATCATCTTCATCATCATCATCATCATCAGGCTGCTGTCAGTCAGACCTGGGTCCATGCAGTAGGGTTCAATCTTCATCTTCCTCATCCATAAGACTTCCCCTTGCTCTCCGTAGCGCCGCCCTTGTGTTTGCAGCCCCCCCTCCCCCTCCTTCCTCGTCCGACTCGACCGAAACGCTTTCTCCCGATGGGCCGATGCCTAACCCGCCGTCCTTGCCGCTCCCTCAGCTGCGGACGGTGGAGCGAGACAAGAAGACGATGGACCAGGAGATGGTGAAGCTGACCGACAAGCTCCTGGAGGCGAAGAATACCATCGACCGGCTGGAGGAGCTGAACGTGAGCCTTCCCTCGTGCGCCAACACGTTGCGCCCAATGTATTTGTCACGTCCAACTCAAATAAGCGCGCCCTGCTTCTGTCGCATCATCAAGAAAGTGGGAGGGGGTGGGGGGGGGGGTGAACCGCTGAGGGGCTCGTTTCTCCAGAAGAGCTGTTTCAGTTGACTGGGCGCGCACACTAAAGTAAAAAGCTGCCCCCTGCTGGCCCGTCGCGCAACATGACGCATTTGCGTGTCGGCCTTCAGAGGGGAGCCGCCCCTTGCCCGGGTTTTCCCACTCAGGCTGGCTACAGGCGCGAAGACAAGCGAGCTGTTTTAGTGCCGACGTCGGCCCTGCCCGCCCGCCCGACCGAGGGCGGCAAATGCTCCACTTGTCGTGATGATCGGCTCCCAAACTAGTCGGGCCCCACGATCGTAAATATGAATCCTGTTCAGTAGTTCCAACCCCAAATCTTACCGCGCGCTTTGGGAAAGCCAACGTCGCCCTCGCGCCGGTTCGCGAACGCAACGGAGGCACTCGACCAAGCGCGCAAATATGCGCTAGTCCGTCTTGTTATTTGGGAGACGGCGGGCAGGACAGGACGAATGCGCCAAAGCAGGTTTTTCCTCGCCCGCGTCGACTCCAAACACTCCGTCGTCCTTTTGCGTCAAAGCGGACTTCATGGGAGACGAGCGAGGAGGACGGCGCTCTTTGAAATGAACCCGAAAACAAAATGACAAACCGCACGTCCGCCAGCCAAAAAGCTTGTGGCCCAAGTCCTCTGGACAGATGAGACGAGATCAGAAACTTTTGCCGACGGCACATCGGCGAGCTCGGTGTTGTCGGAAGCCGAAAAAAGGAATCGTACCAAGAAAGGAAGTCTCGGTGAAACTTGGAGGAGGCTTTCTTACGTTCTACGGCTGAATCTGCGCGCCGTACAGCTGCCTCGTGTCGGTGAGCGTCGTTTGTCTCGCGACAGCTCAAGGCGGCGAGCAGCAAAACATTGGACGCTTGACGAGCGGCCTTCTCGGAGCCCCGAGCCCGACCCGAGTGAACATCGTGGAGGGAGCGAAAACGTGGCCTCGGCGCTGAGCGGCCTTCGTATCCTGCCGCCAACGCGGCGCCTTGCTCGTAAGCGCCGCGCCAAAGTGGCTGCGGCGAGGCGCGACGTTGCACATGACGAAAATCCTTTGCGCGGCAAAATGTCAACTTCAAGCTACCGCCGCTTTCTGAAAAGAACCCTCTGAAGCACACTTCCAAAGCAACGTCTGATTTTGGACTTGGTTACACTTCATTGAATGTTGATTTCCTCTGGCTTGTTCTTTCATGAACGGGGCCTGCCAACCCTTTTGTCCACAGTCACGCTGCTCGAACCCGTGGCTCAAAAGTACTCCAAAAGCGCACCCGATCGGTTCCCGGGTACCGCATCGTTTTCGCTCGTATCGTTCAAAATGAGCCCGTATCACCCGTGAATCCGAGAATAAGACTGGTCGCAGGCCTCCCCGAGCGATGCATTGCAGTCCGCGCTCTCGCCGGCGAGTCCTTTTTTCATTTATCTTCACCAACAATCGTTTGCTCTACGAAGCGACGTTCTGCCGGCCCGGCAGGCTGCCGCCTGTTAGCTCGGCGCTAGCATAGCGGCCGTCCGACAAGGTTAGCTTATGTCGTGTGTGTGTGTGTGTGTCTCAGGAGCGTTATCGGCTGGACTGCAACCTCGCCGTGCAGCTGCTCAAATGCAACAAGTCGCATTTCAGGAACCACAAGTTTGCTGATGTGAGTACAACGCCGCCGCGCCCGCGCCGATTGTTTTTGCGTCTACGGTGGTACCTTTCCTTTCCTTTCCTTTCTTTTGCTTTTCCTTTGCTCTCCCACCGCAAGTACTCGGAAGGAAGGGCGCTGGAATAGTCAAGATGTTTCACAAAGGTGCCTGCGTGCAGGAGGCTCTCGGCCACCTTCGCCAAAGGGCACTTGTGACGGAGCTTGACCGGAGGAAAGGAACCAAGATATTTTACCCGCCGTCCTTGAGGGCAGCAATCTTTCAAGCGACATGCCGCTGACAACGGCCACTCGAAAGTCTCACGTGAGACTTTGAAAATAATCATGAAATAAAACTGAACGGAATAAAATCCAGAACGCTATTTTACAGCGTAAACTCGCATCGGTAAACTCGCATCTTACTTCTCCGAAACTCAACAATTGTAACTCGTAAAACGCAGCAAACAAATGAAATCCAAAAACGGCGAGCGAGGGGAAATCGAGGCGCATGTGTGTGCAGGTGAATTTGCGAGCGAGAGAGAGCGCGTGTTTTCCGAGCGGGGGTCCCCCACTGAGCCCGCTTTGCCGCCTTCCAGCTGCCGTGCGAACTCCAGGACATGTTGAAGAAGCACATGAAGAGCAGCAGCCTGCCCGAGCCGAGCCCCGCCCCCTGCAGCCAGGACCCGGACACGCTGAGCCTGACGCCGTCCGACGTGGTCCCGACCTCGGTGATCGCTCGGGTCCTGGAGAAACCCGAACCGCTGCTCCTCAACTCGGCGCAGTCCAGCAGCCGCGGCTGGCCGGCCGCCGAGGACGTGTTCGTGCACGTCGACATGACGGCGGGGGGGCGGGGGGCCGAGGACGAGGCGCCGCTCGACGGCCCGTGCCGGAGCCCCGGCGGGCCCGACGCCGGCGAGGAGGCGGGCGCCGCGCCCTCCTTCGACAAGTTGAATCCGTACCCGCCGCCGCCGCCGCCCGCTTTGCTCTGCCCCGGCCGAAAGGTCATCGAGTTTTCCTCGGACGACAAAGTGAAGATTCCCAAGAACAGCCCGCTTCCCAACTGCACGTACGCCACGCGACAGGCCATCTCGCTCGGCCTGCACGGCGAGCAGCGGCCCCTCGGGCCGCCCAGCCCCGC